TTTTATTTTACTAAAAGTGTAGGTTTTATAGGTTTCTGAGTTTGATTACTTTGTGAAAAATCGCCTATTTTTACTTATTCCCTCGTCATTCCTTAATTGAGCCATGTTTATCGTTATTATTGTATATTTTATTGAGCATCTATTAACACATAATATATAGTAAGGAAGTGTAACTGCGCTTATAGTTATGAATGTTTTGTATCTCTTCCCGTTTATTGTTATTAAAAAGTCGAGAATTAGCATATTTACTCTAATATATGGGTAGCTAATTTTGAAAATCAAAGTTGAAAAGTGTTTAGGTTGCAAGTGTCCACTTAATGTTATTGTTTTTTTATTCTATCAAAACTGAAGGTTTTATAGGTTTCTAAACTTGACTACTTTGTGAAAAATCGCCTATTTTTACTTGTTCCCTCATCATTCCTTAATGTTTATCGTTATTCTTATTTGTATATTTTATTGAGCATCTATCAACACATAATATATAGTAAGGAAGTGTAACTGCGCTTATAGTTATGAATGTTTTGTATCTCTTCCCGTTTATTGTTATTAAAAACTGGAAAATTAGCATATTTGCTCTAATATATGGGTAGCTAATTTCGAAAATCAAAGTTGAAAACTCATCGATTGTTTGAAAGCTATACAATTGTCGAGGGTTGTAGCCGATTTTTCGTATTTGTAATTTATAAATAAGCTGGTTCTGTAGTTACGAATAGTTTTACCTTTTTCTCAAGCGCAATTTTCTTTCTCTTATACTCCGAATACTTGCTCTCTTTAACAGTCGTATGGTGGAACGGACGACCGATAGAACAATACATTTCAATCGTTGTAATATAAAATAGCAATTAAAAATTTGTTTTGATTATTAATGCTTTATCCTTGTGTAAATTAAATATTTTTGAACGTAATATCAAGAGAATAATATACAATAATGCAAATAAAACGACATTTTTTTATTAAAAAGTCGGGAATTAGTATATTCACCTTAGGTAATCTCGGGTAATCCATGATTGCCGAGAATGGCGACATGTCTCATTTTTTGTATTTAATATAATGAGCTTTCGGTAGAAATTAGAGTAATATGCATTATTGTACATTTTTATTTATCGAGCGGACTACAAATCATTTTTTCTCGGAATGCTCACTCTGTCTGAATTGGGAAGACAACTCTGTTCCCGTTGTATTAATAAACCAATTTCTTGTAACAAATAAAACAACATTTTTGAACAAATTAAGCATACTAATGTTTTTTTGTATCTCTTCCCGTTTATTGTTATTAAAAAGTCGGGAATTAGCATTTTTACTCTAATATATTGTTAGCTAATTTCGAAAATAAACAAACCAAATTAAAAAGCTCATTGATTGCTCGAAAGCTATAATATTATCGAGGGTTGTATCCGATTTTTCGTATTGTCTGTTTATAATTAAGCTGTTTCTTTAGTTAAGAATAGTTTTATCTGTTTCTCAAGCGCAATATTCTCTCTCTTATTCACCGAATGCTTGCTCTCTTTAACAGTCGTATGCTTAAACGATCTACCAAAAGAACGACTCATTTTGCTCGTGGTGTATTAAATGAAAATTAAAATTTGTTTTGAAAATTAATATGTTCTCTTTGTACAAGTTAAGCTTTTTTTAACTTGTATCATAAAGAAAATGTGCTAATGTATCTATTCTATAACACGTGGGGGCTAATTTCGGTAATTAACGAACCAATATTGAAATCTCTTCCATTGTTTTAAGGTTGTACCATTTTCGAGGTGATGGTAGCCAATTTTTAACATTTCTTAAATACAATGAAGAAAATTTCTTTTACGAAGAATTTAGCTTTCCTTCAAGGATAATTTTCATTTATCCTCGGAATACTTGTCCTCTTTAACGACTATTAATGTCTATTCTGTAATACCTGAGGGCGCATTTGGGATATTTATAAGCGGAATTGAATGCTTATTAATTGTATAAAACCTAAACTTTATCTATGTATTAACCAAATATTTTTGAACTTGTATTAAAAAGAGAATGTGTTAATTTGTCCATTGTGTACTAGATATGCGGTCTAATTTCGGAAGTTAACAATGAATGTTGAAAACTCATTGGTTGTTTGAAGACTATACCAATATCGCGGGTTGTAGCCGATTTTTAAGGTATTTTTATTTTATAAATAAGCAGTAGTTATGAATAGTTTTACCTTTTTCTCAAGCGCAATCTTCTTTCTTTTACACTCCGAATACTTGCTCTCTTTAACAGTCGTATGCTTGATCGATCGACTGAAAGAACAATCCATTTTGTATATGAAAAAGGAAATTAAAAATTTGTTTTGAATAGTAATGATTTCTCTTTGAATAAATTAAACTTTTTGGTGCTTGTATTAAAAAGAGAATGCGTTAATTTGTGTATTCTGTAATATGTGGGGGCAGATTTCGAAAATTAACAAACCAATGTTTAAAGCTTATTGATTGATTGAAATCTATATCATTATTGAGGCAAAGAATACATTGTGGCATACTTTTCATATTTTTTATTGATAATTAAGCTCATTATGTAGTTAGGAATAGTTTTACCTTTTTCTCAAGCGCAATTTTCTTTCTCTTATACTCCGAATACTTACTCTGTTTAACAGTCACAGCTTGAACGGTCGACCAAGAGAAAATCTGTTTGCTGGCTATACTGAAAAATGAAAATTAGAAATTTGTTTTATCTTTGTATAAATGAAACTTTTTGGTACTTATATTTCAAAGAAAATGTGTTAATTTGTCTATTGTCTAATATGAGGGTAGCTAATTTCGGAAATTAGCAATTAATGTTGGAAACGCATCGATTGTTTGAATGCTATACCATTATTGAGGGTTGTAGCCGATTTTTCGTATTGTTCTTTTATATAATTAAGCTATTTCTGTAGTTAAGAACAGTTGTATCTGTTTCTCAAGCGGAATTTTCTTTCTCTTATACTCCGAATACTTGCTCTCTTTAACAGTCGTGTGCTTAAACGGTCGACCGACAGAACTCAGTTTGCTGGCCTATTTAAAATGGAAATTAGAAATTTGTTTTCAATGGGAACCGATAGTTATAGGAATTGTTTTAAATAACAGCGTTAGTTAAAAGATGCCCTTATTCAATGACTGCGTCATTACTAGCAACGGTGTAGTTCTATTACATAAAATTAACTGCGTTGTTGGTTAAGGGGTTGCATATTTATGAATTTAAGTAATTACAATACTAAATCTATTGCATATCTTCAAGCCTCATCAATAATTCCATTTAACTCAACCATTATTCTTCCTCTACTCTTCTTATAGCTTCCTTCTTTTTCAACAATTCCACTTCTTCTACCAGCCTTCTTTCTACTATCATCCTAAATTCACCTATAACCCTCTCTTCACACCCTTGCAATAGCTTTTTAAAGTGTTTTATCCATTCCAGTTCTTCAATCGTTCCACTGACTTGTACTTTACTACTTTTCCTGAATCTATTTATCATTTTTGAACACTTTCATCCCTTCTTAATTTAATCCATCAGTATCTTTTCTTTTCTTCCAACAACCTTCATTTCATCATTCTTCACACCTACCTGTCATCTTTATACTCTTAACAATCATGTACTCTCTCATCATAATCAGACCTTTCCAATCATCAATCCCTTCAACTCTTTCTTCCATTCTTCATAAACTCTCCTGTTGCTCCTTTTCCCCAGTCAAATACTTGCCTTTATACATTACCCACTCCCATTTAACATCGCGTAATCTGTAAGAGACTTACATCTCCCTAGAAACATATATTCCCATTTCCATCCCTCTCACACACCCCGTTAACTATATTTATCCCATTGTTTTACACCATCCCCTACTAGACAACAGCCTTCTCTTCTGACCGTCATGTTAAACCCCTTATTATCATTACATTATTATCATTCATATTTTCTATTGTTTTCCTCAGGTTTTTTAGTTTTCCTTTTATTTCCTCAGTGACAAATATTTGTAAATACTATCACCCTTTCTTCCTCCCTCTCCTTTAACCTCTTTATCATAACCATTCCCCTATCGAATTTTGTAACATTTGCTATCAATACACCTTTTAACCCTACAAACATCCCTCCCTTCGCCCTACTCTTTATACTCTGGTTTACTTACTACGTCTTCCTTCCATCTTCTGTTTTATAAATCTTTCCTATTCTCTTTGTCTTCTTCCAAGTCTGTTCCAAAAATCGTAGGGTGTTATTTTATTCTCTATTCTATTTTCAAACATCATATAATTTTCTCTGCTTGTTCTACCACATGTATTCCTATCTCTAGCTCCTTTTTTACTACCTTTTCCTTTACTACTACTTACAAGTTGTTTTTTTCTGTCTTTAACTATGCCTTGCAACTGCTTATATATATTTCTCTTTTACTTCCCTCATCATACTTACTACTTTGTCAAGCCTTTACCTCTCTTCTATTTCATTTCTTCCTTTCACCTTTAATTCACTCTCTTCTTATTTCCTTTTTAAATATTCCAACAGTTCACTTATGCTATTAATTTCTCCTTCATTCTTTTGCATTGTTTTTATTAAGCTCTTTATTCAGTTTTTTGTACTTTAATTTGTTCTTTCTCCTTATTTTCCATTAAAATTTATAAACACAATTCATACGCTTACTCTACTAGTATTAAATGATTACGATGTACCAAGTAAGGGTAAATAGGACCTTAAATTCTCGAGCTACAGCATCACCAGAAAGACGACAGTTCTGTAAATATTCATAAAAAAAATAAATCCTCATTGGTTTCTATAATGTATTACAGAATTTATATGTTAAAATAAGATAAACTGTATTTTATGCACTGAAATTAAAGATTAATAACTCTTAATTATTTTTTACCCTATCTTATTTTTTTTTTGTAAATTTAGGTTGCTTACATTTCGATATTAATTACCCCATATAGTATTAGATTTTCAGTTAGACATTTAGTGATATTTGAAATTTGTAGTCAACAAATGATTTTGAAGATTAATATTTGATTCTCTTACAGACGCTGTTGGCTTCTCTATCTTGCAATCATGGAAGTGGATCGTTAGAGAACCTTTGATGGGAGAGAAAGGGATGAATTAATTTCGCTCACAATAGTGGATTCTTTCAAAAGGTACAAAATAATTGAAACTATAATATGTGTAAAGCAATTTCTTTAATTCTGCTTTTAATACATCCATTTGAATTTGTTGCAGGTATATTTGGTTCTTTATTCCACAATTATAGAGGAGGACTTCTGGAACGGTGTTGAGATTTTTTGAGGAAATTGGAAAATCTCCTAAAATATCGAGGAGGACTTACCAAGCAAAATTCTTCTGTGTCAGGCAGTTTTAGTAGGACCATTTAGAGCCCTGATGGAAGACAAAAGGATTAATCAATTTTACCCACAACAGTGAGTTTTTCACACTTAATAATACAATGCAATAGAGAACACTCATAAGTAAAACGCTTATAATACAATAAAGAATTTATTAAATTCAGTTATTTAACACTTTTCACATAATTGCTGTAGATTTTATTGAAAACCAAGCAATAACAACAAACTTCATTTTTACTCATTTGTTTTCCACTTTGTATTTGCATTTCGAAAATGAGAAATTAAATGGATTACGAAAACCTGATGAATGTTTTTCTTTTTCATTGTTAAATTTTATGTTTATTGTTTATGAAAATATTTAATTTAACATGTATTCTTATTTAAACTTACGTAATATAATAATCTTATTTGTAATTTAAATAAATATAATGACGATTATTTCTTTCCAGTTGGACCAATTCCGCAGGTGCAAATTCCAGTCAAGCAGTTTCTTCAGGAGATGGTCGTTTGAGTGTCAGTGATGGGAGAGAAAGGCTGGAAGCGATTGCAGCCACAAATTCTTCAAATGTTCAAAAGAGTTGGACATTTCTGGAGATGCAAATTTCAATCGAGCAGCATCATTGGGGTAGGGTCGTTGGAATGCCTGTGATGGGAGAAAGAGGGTGGACGCGATTGCAATCACAACGGTGAGTTTTTCAAATACAATATAGTAGAGGGTATAAAATATCTAGAGAATTTTTTTTGAGTCTTCACTTTTCTTATTAATTAATTGAGAGAATATTTAAATTAACATGCATTCTTAGTTTAACTTGCATAATTTAATAATCTCTTTGCGATTTAGTTAAATATACGTATAATGACGATTATTCCTTTCCAGTTGGACCAATTCTGCAGATTCCAGTCAACCA